AGTGTTGTAGCATTGCTTAAAACAAGACGAGATGCAGTACTACCAAATCTGCTAGCGGATTCACGAGTATACAAGCCAATAAAAAGAAGAAGAGCTGACAAAGTTGCATAACCGTAAATAACCTGACTATAAATTTCCTAAAACAATTTTCATCAATAGACTTTACAGTTTACATATTTTCATCAATAGTTTACAATTTTCATCAAAAGCCTTTATAGTATTACTTACTATACAACTATACAACTATTGTGTATTATTATTATAAACTACTCTTAGGTTTACTCTTTTGTAATTCTTGCTAGATCGAAAGCTCTATTTTTGAACCATATCATGTTTCAATAAATCGTATATCACTCGTACGTTTGCTATATATTTGCACAGTATTAACAATATTTGTTTGTAATTAGCTTTAATTTCCTTAGACATGTAATCGAAAGTGATTATGCAATAAGTCGTGAATGCTCTAAAATTATTCCACAGCAAAATTATCGAATAAGTGCAATTAGACCAGTGTACAATCAAATGCAATTAGAACAAAAAATAAAATCCGCCTTTTCAGTCACAGTAATTTCTATGAAATGTGGATAAATTTTGTTGATACAGTTTTAAGATAAAAGATTAAATATGTGCCGCTGAAAGTATTTTCGTTCTGTAATGTGAATTTTAGTTTTTGATAAAAAGAACTTACTGTAACATAGAAAACCAACTTTGTAGTTATATGCAGTTTCAAAAACATAATATAAAAGATAACATTGTATATACTTTGCAAAAAATATTTTAATAAACAGGATTGTATTTTATAATTTAATTTAAGTTATAGATTAAACATAATTTTCCTTCAAGTAAATGTCAATGCAATTTATATTTAATTGCATTAACATTTTTCTTAACTATGAATATAATTTAGAGACCACAGCGAAGATTGAAAATGATTTACAAATAATGTAACATCAGTTCACTATTAGTAATAAAGAATTCTAATTGAAGATATTACAAAAAAAAAACAAAAAAGTCTAGTAGTACCTATCAAAGGAACTAATACTGAACACATTAGTAACAGGATGGTAAAACAACAAGTAATGGCAATCGACAACAATATTAAAGAATGATGGAAGAAGAAAGTCGTAACAAAAGTATGTAGTATAGTAGCATACCTCAAAAATACTATATAGCAAAAAAAAAAACGAAAATATAAACAACAATGTGCATACACAAATCTGTCATACTATTGCAAAAATACGTAAAATCAGTACAATACGCGAATTCTTAGAAACAAATGAATCCTTACACAAAAAACAACACAAAAAAATTAGGAGAAATGAGATCAGAAACATCTGCATGATAGATAACTATAAATGAGTGAGTACAAGAAAGAAAGGAAGAATATAATAGACACAATAATAGAATGGCAGAAAGTAGAATAGTTAAAATTGTTTGAAACGAGTCACCAATCGGGAGAAGAAGCACCAGCCATCCTAGAAGGATCTGGAATAATAATGTTCTAAAAACAATTTAAAACAAAAATACAGAAAAACAAGGAATATGCCGAAATAAAAGAGGAAAAAGAAGACATATACTTGCAAGACAATTCTGATATAATTTCAATTAATTAATCAACATTTTTGTCTGATTGTTATTAAAAATATAGAATATTTTTTTTATATTGAAGGAATTATTGTGTGACAATATAATTGGTTAGGTTCAGGATGAATGGGAGCTTAGCCAATCTTTCTCTCTGTTAGGAGAGCTACGGTAACTCACAGACCATTCCTGTATATATCTGGTAGATTTTTGGACCTCTTCTTCGAAGGTTCATATATAAAAGCCTTCGAATGCTTAAGACCAATTTATTCGCATCAATAGTTACGTTTTATCTGTTTTTAGTTCTAGTTAGCTATGTTAGCAAAAGGTTCTAGTAGATAGGTAGCCACTTTAGGACTCTTTGCCCTTTGACCTCCTTGACTTGCACCGTAAGTGCATTCGCTTCACACATGTCTATAATTTTTTGAAATGTAATTATGGGTGAGTCATGCATTCAATGTTGGAGGCGCTAATGCATTCGATTTTTTAAATCATTTATAAAAGGCCAACATGGGTACGGTCCAATTTTATGGGACCTGTAAAATTCTAATAAAATCGTTCATTCTGGTCATTTTTGGCTTTTAATTTGCATCTTAATTTATTCGTTATATCCTCTCCATTTATTTGCTATGTCGCATATAAGGATGCAATCAGTTGTTTATTTTGTACTCTGTCACAAGAACATTCATAATTCACGCTTCAATATGACTCATAACAATATAGATATAATTTAATAGCCTTTTGGCAATGCAGTTACGTATTTTTGTTCTATTTCAAAATATTCTCTATCTCATCTTCTTTCCAATGATGTATTCTAATGTCAATAACGTCACTATTCGACAAGCTGTTGGGTCTTCACCAAGAAAAGACCCAAAATTAAGCAGAATGATCCTTAAAATTTCTTATGAGATTTATGGGATGGCTCACCCATAATCACATTTCTCAAAGTAATAGACATTTTCGAAGCGGATGCGCGTACGGTTCAGGCTGTGGAGGTCAGAGGTCAAAGTGTCCTCAAGTGGCTGCCTATCTACTGGTTCTGGGTCTAAGAATGTTTATTTCGTGCCTTAAGTGGCAAGTAGACCCGCTTTCTCAGTATCTTCAATAACATTATGTCCAGGTTTCCAGAATAAACTTACTTTTTTCCATCTTAACCAGATTCTAAAAAAAGTTCCAAACTAACCTGGAGTCGGTTCTATTCGATTGCAGTGCTCTTAATGCTGCCTTGGCTATTCGATCGTAATTTTTATAGATTTGTCCCTGCAGTTGCTCTTTATAAGTTCGTGCAGGCACACCTCTATAGCATAGATTAAGTCTCAACTGATTACCTAGGCTTTCACTAAGGCTTATTCTTAGTTTGCCTTCATATAATTTAGCTCCAACTACTTTGTCGTTTTTGAGTCCATTGATCTGCCATTATGAGATTCGTTTTACTCGACTCCCATTCGATCCTCTCTCTGAAAGGATGACAGTAACCGGCTTTTAGAAATGATATTTAAGTTACATTGCATTTGGAACCATTTCCAGGTCTGGGTGAAAGTTTCTCCATAGATACCGGCACCAGAAGTTCATCTGCTTGTAAAAATTACTTGTAATTGGTATCGAGTTTTTAAAATGACATTGAAAAATTCAATGGAATGCCTTAAAAGTAATCCGTGTTTATGCAGTTTATTTAATATCATTGGTCCATTTAAATTCATTTGCAGGGAATCATATGATGTAGCAATGAATCTCATACCCTCTCTTACTTAAATATTAACTTAACCTTTATTGTAAGATAACTAGTGAGGCTCTGCAGCTAAATGACTATCAGATTAAGCAATTTTCCATTTTCCAGTCAATATCGTTTTGTAAAAAAACTGTGGTTAAAGTGACAGGACACTCGATTGTCCTGACAATAAACAATCGATCTCAAAACGGAGGAACCAAGAAAATATTAACGGTATTACGATATAGAAGACGAGGAAAAATTACTACATTACTGATACTAATGGATATCTCTAGTACAGTGTCCCACAGGAACAACTGAACCACATACTAACTTAATGATTATTTACCTCTGAATTTAAACTTCGACAGGGGAGGGAAATTAAAAACAGACCACGGGACCTTCCAGGTGGTCAATCAACAAAAACCCAGTGTCATAAAAATCCACAACACAGCTAAGTCTAACATAACTATTATGTTTGAAGATGATACATTACTTAACATTCAGCTAAAAATAGTCAGACTGAAAATACCCATCCTAGGCGAATCCGAAACGAAATGATTAGTGTCAGGATAAATTGTAAGATTAAAAACAAACTAGATAGATCTAAGCAAGCAAATATAGATTAAAAATTGGATATTATGAATTCCACCATGGTACTAACTAATAAGCAGAAAAAATCGAATAAAAAAGGATTAGATGGCAGATAAAATATTAGACGTTATACAACATACAAGCAAATGAAAAATAAAGACGAGATTAGATATAGAGAAATATGTCATTAAAAAAACTGTAAGGTTAAGAAAGAAAAAGAACCCAAGAAAAAGGATGGAACAAAGATATCGCGTTGCATAGATTTTAAAACAGAATTATATTTTTACATGTATTACACAACTGCGACAAACTATGGCAGCCAACAAAATTGTTACAAATGTTACCCATGTTATGTAAATGTTAAAAGTGACTCCATAAACATATATGACCCATCCACCTTTACAACCTAATCAGGCTTCCAGAATTCTGCAATGAAGATCATGAATAAAAAGCCGTACTTAAAGTTATAAAAACGAAAGCTTGTCGTTCTGTTTTAGTTTGAAGAACATAGACATTGTATCATCTTATTGTCGTTATTTAGTTAGTCTGACTGTCAGAGTCTATTATTATTTTATAGTTATTCTAATAATCTTATATGGGAATAAAACGATAAAGGTAGTGCAAATAAAAAACTTTATTATTACATATGAATTAAATATAATAAATTGTTTGACACATTTATAATCTAAACGTTGAAAGGTTTGTACTTTCTGCATTTTTTCTGTGGTATTCCCATACAAGATTATAAAAACTGAAATATAGCAGAAAAACAGAGGAGAAAATGGGCCATTTAATTTGAAAGTTGTTATATTTCTATGACAAGCCAATAATTAGTTGACAATAAAAAAAAATCGTTCGTTTAAAATGAATAACAAACAATAATTGAGTTTATTGCATTTAGATCCTAAAATTTATTGTAAATACATTAGGAGATTTATATCCAACGGTTGGCGGATTTTATTGCTTGCACCTTTTGCAACCGACCTAATCGTTACGTGTAAGTGTGTCAATATGTGGGAGAACAAATCTACTAGAGAGCGTAGTAAAAAGTGAAGAAATTAGATTAAAGTTAGCGTGCTTCATGCATATAAAGACAAAAGTCATGCGACAAACTCACCCATACAGTCGACTGTCTCGAAAACTAACCCTAATTAATAAAAATTTATAAATTAAACAAAAAAGATGAAAGTGATTCGATTCGTTTGATATAGTCAAATATAGTTATAAAATTTTTGCAATTGTGCAGTTGGATAATTATTATACTTGACTATATAATTTACGACATGTCAAAAATACATTATGCAAATTTTGTATTAATTCTTCTATAGTTTTCAATCCACACTATATATTTTTCTACTTTTTTATTATTCATAACTCCGTCTGTACTTTTATTAATGAATAGAGTAGCTTAATAGCAGGGTAGCCAGTCTTAAACCAGGAGAAAGAGGAGGGTTCGAAGGTACGGCCAGTCACTTGTGCTGTTTAAAATAAAATTTAAAATTATTTAAAATAAAACTCATAGAACCGATCACATATCCTCGGATTAAAAACAGAAACATTTAAAGGCCACTTTAGCAAACAATACCGAATTACGATTAACGAGATTAAAAGATGGTGATAGAAATGATTACACATAAAATCAATATGACATATGATATTATCATGAGCTCTCTCGGAAGCTACGAAGAATGAAAAAGAAAAATCGAAACACTTAAACTTTCTACTGCTTTAAATCTGAAGGGACAGAGGAGGTTATGCAAGCTTAGCAAGAGGCATTTTAATATGAACCGAAATTTCTACGGACAGAGCACCTAACAAATAAAAAGTTAAGTAAATGAAATAAGCAAGAGAACTACTATTAATATTAAAAATACGCTCTAGCTTGGAGACGTGACCAAAACTGCCGCTCAAAAAAAAACACTCGGAGCATAAAAAAACACCTAGATCTCATAGGATAGCACTAACCCAATAGAAAAAGGTGTAATGGGTACGGCATATAATGAACAACCTGAAAAGAAGGCAAGACGAACAACAAGGGAAGCCAGGGAAAGCAAGCCAGGAACGAAATTAGAAGAGCTTGGGGCGTACAAATATATAAGAATGTTAAATACCTTAGACAAAGTCTTTGAGATTCTTGTGAACACAAGGATGGAAACGAAGATAATACAGAAAGGTGGCATATTCGACTCCAGTATGGATTGAAAGGATAATTTGCCATAGACGCTATAATATGTAAGATGTAGATAAAGGTAGACGTAGATGGTTGTTGGCTTTCCGTTTTGATATAAGAAATGCTTTTAATAGTGCTAGAACTTAAACAGAAACGACTTCACAGATAGATACATCATTTTTGCGAGGGATAACTCTATGAAGATCAACGCGGAAGTGTAGTAGAGCTTCGTATTGAAGTCATTGCTTTGTTCTGTACAATGAGATTTTGGTGGCCGATCTGATCGTTGGTGAACAGGTAATAACATATGCCAATGACCTAATGGTGATGTGGTGGAGCACACCAAGAATTGGTCAATCATACATAAAGGAAACCGAGCCCTCAACAAAGTGAAGACGTGAATGGAACGCAGGGACCTCATGCTTGTAGCCAAGAAAACTGAAGCTATGGTCTTTAAGTGTCTAAGAAGGACCAGAGACTATATAGTTTTTCTTTTAGAGAGAGAAAGGATCTTTACTGCCAAAAAAAAAAGTACTTGGAAATAGTCCTAGATACCAGGAGAACTTTTGGTAAGCACTTTAAATACGTCGTGCTCAGGGTAGAGGAGCGGACTGCAGTGCTAAAAAGGATTATGCCCAACGTAGGAGGACCAGTGACTACCAAAATGAAAATTTTAATGAAAGTGGTCCACTATACTTTACTCTACGCGGCACGGGTATGGCAATAAGTGCTTAACATCAAGAAATATAGGAGGATGATAGAGAAAGTCCAAACAAAAGCACTTCCAAAGGTTGTTCGTGCTTTCAGAACAAGATCAACGGTGGTCTTTACAAGTGATTGCTGGTATTATTATTTGCGGGGTTGCGAGCCACCTGATGGTAAAGCAAAGGTCGAAAACCTACGGGAAGGATGAGCTGAAGAAAATACACGATGGGGGCAGTTACTCGAATTGCCAAAAAGAAGGAAATATTAGAGATGGATCTGTAGCAACAATAAAAGAGAGAGAGAGAGATAGAGAGAGAGAGAGAGAGACAGTGAAGACAGTTAAAGAAAGTGAAAGAAAGAGAGATAGAAAGAGAGAACAATAGAGAGAGAAAGAGAGATAGAGTGAGAAAGAGAACAAAAAAGAAAGAAAAGACGGACAATTCATTTAATGCACCTGACTACGAGAGGGCCTACCGCATGAGTAGTCGGGATAAGAGCGCAAACTTTAGTTGGTTAATTGGTAGGCAGGGATCTCTAGTTGTTGGGTTTATCTGTGAGCGAGTGCCTTCATGGGAAACTGCGTGTTGATGGGCCCTTCTACTACTCCGTTGCGCTGAACTTCTCAAAATCGACAAATAGGCGCCAATATTATCACCAATTTTCATTAAATGGAGACAGTACCCACTTATCAAAAGAGAGTTATATTATTTTATATTTTTTTCATATTTCTATAGATTTTTTATAAATATTTAAACCTTTTTTTCTCCTTACTCATATATCTTACACCTACAGTGTGGTTTCTTTTTACTTTGCTACTTAATATAGAAACTTGAGCTATTCAAATTTGACGTATCGGATAGATAGAGTTGATTATTTTTTGGTAATAAGTTGCAACAATTACAATCTGTTAATAAAAAGGCCTATATTATTGTTAACGCCCTGTATATCAGAAACTTTGAACCTTACTTGATACAAATAAAAACCATTTTTGGATTTGAACGATATATTTTTAGAACATTTTGCATAATATCTTTTAAACAAATGCATGAATTTTGCGCTGCGTTGTATAGCTCTAGAGCAAAAAAATGGGCTAAAACTAAGATCCATTCCCATTTCCAACGGAAGCCAATTAAAATACTGAAGAAACAAAAAAGGTTAGACTTTAAGTTATAGGACGCACTTCGTTAAACTAATTTTTTGTTATTTTTTCTTATTTTGGTTACAATTTTTTTAAAATATTCATTTTCATCAATTTTTAAAAATATTTGACGAAAAAATAACAGTATTTTTCGAGTAAACAAATAATGTATTACTGCACAAATTATTAAATGCATTCTAGTTTAAAGTATTACCAAGATGGTTTGTCCATGAAAATATGGTTGCCAGTAAATTTATAGGGCTAATTTTTGCCAGAAACTAAATAAAAAAAAACATAATATCCGCTATTTTAATTAAAAACCACCAAAATTGTCATTCTTTGGATCATTACAACTTTAGTAATGATCATTCACATTCTCATCTCGTTATAATAAAAGTAACTAATCAGTAGTGGTGTATATCATCATTAAACGTCTAGACCATAGAGACCAGTCACCAGTACATTAGAAGACCCAGTTCCACCTAACCACCGTTTATGTGTATTTCACCTGCTCCAAGATATAAGCCCTATGCAACTGTCACAGAAATAGCGGTTAACCACAGGAAACTGGATATAGCCGTAAGAAATCCATACGCAGCACCAGATAAAATAGAAGAATGGAGTATCCAATGGAAAATATCCATCAATCCAGAGAAGATTCAAGCAGATATCTTTAAAAAGAAAAGAGATAATTCTAGAAGAACAGCTAACATATAATGGCAGAACGAAGCTAAATACCTATAATTATACTGGTAATATACCGAGTCACAAAAATCACGCCACACATTATCGCGACAGCTTAGAACACAGCAACGGCCAGGGCAACATTAAAAAGACTCACAAAAAAATAAGCAAATTAGTAATTAAAATCAAACTAAGCTCAATCAACAGCATCATATTATCATTAATTACATTTGCATTATTATAATCATTTTCATGGAGACACATATGTTACAGTAACAAAACCAAGATACAAGGAGTACAAAACTGTCTAAGAGAAGTTGAAAATGGCCCAGATATGTAACTGAACGCTACTTGTTCAGAGACCTGAAAAAATTAGGTGCTAAATATGATAGAAGAAAATGCCAGATTACAGTTCGCTGACTTTGACTGCAAGAGATATTAAGGTATGATGTACACCACAGATTGAATCACAGACGACCTAGCAACAAATGTTACCAAATAATAATAAAGTTTAGCAATAACAATAAATCGCAACAAAAATATACTAATGATATTTTTATGTTTCAGACAACTCTTGCAAAAAAAATCACAAAAACCTCAAACGACGGTTTCAGCTACCAAACAAATTAAATAATTAGCAACAAAATACGCAAGCCATAAAAAAACACAAAATCCCAAAAAGCGAGCAAGAGAGGCAATCCACCAATCTTAAACGCCGAGTTCCAAAGGGCCTAGCCTGGTCAGTAAAGATGATAGCAGGATTATAGTTCCTCACACAGTCCACATCAGTCAAGAAGAGACAATCGAAGAAGCTAAAGGTGAAGATCAAACAGACGTTAAAACCGTTATTATTCAGGTCCCTCTGGAGATATGGAGATAAAAACGAAAAACATACCACAGTGGACTGCTGGAAAATCAAATCATGTTTGCACATGTCTACCTAATGACGGTGCTGATAAATTACGTTTGCAGCAAAGTAAACAAAAAATCTGAAAATTTAAGTTTTTCGCAGGCTTCTATGTACCAGAAACCTCAATGTAGAACAAATAAGAGCACAAATAAAAAAGAAAAGAGATCACAGAGTGTTCAACCAGTTACTTGTACTTCAACTTGTGAGTCAGCTTTTGAAAGAAAAGAGAAACATTTATTGTTGATTCTAATTCACCTCTATGACGATAGAGGTGAATTAGAAGAAGAAGAATATGATATGAATTCGAGGCTTTAAATAAACACTATGAAGATTTATATGAAAAAACAAATTCAAATAAAGGCCCCAAAATAATAAAGCAACTAGAATCACTAGAAGCCGAACTAACAAAAAAAGAAGAAGAAATCAATATGGTAATGACTCTATGTAAAGAAGTCATGGCACTTAAACAGCACATAAGTCAAGGTAGGATATCATGCAGGAGTTGTTGTACCCGAAACTCTCACGATAAGTATTTTGACGATTTAAGCCTTCATAATGGTGATTATGAAAAACATCTTTAACAGCCACAACATAAAATTAAAAATAAAAGTTCGTTTACTAAAATGCTACGTATTTTCCATTCTTTTATATGACGTAGAGTCATGGACCTTAACTGAAGCATTACTGAAGAGACTCGAAGCATTTGAGATGTGGTGCTATAGACGCATGTTGAGGATTTCCTGGATAGACAGAATTACCAACAAAGAAGTACTACATAGAATGGGTAAAGAGCGCGAACTAGTCGTAACCATAAAACGTCGCAAACTAGAATACCTGAGCCATATAATGTGCAATGAACAACGATATGACCTACTTCGGACCATACTTCAATGTAAAGTGCATGGGAAAAGAGGTCCAGGACGGAGAAGAATATCCTGGCTGCATAACCTGCGAAAGTGATTTAACTTAACCACTACCGGACTTTTCAGGGCAGCAGTCAACAAAGTCAGAATAGCCATGTTAGTGTCCAACATCCGTAATGGATAGGCACAATAAGAAGAAGATAATGGTGCTCCCTGATTTACAGAACGAATTCTTCTCACCCCGAGAAATTGAATTCCCAATTGTCATTTTAGGGGTATGCAAGTTTCACAGACTGGGTTCATTTCTATTGTTTGCTTAATATAAATCTAATCTCTCAAAAAGATCTAAGACCTCACACAAAGTTACGAGTTTTCGTGTTACTTATCTTCTCATATATATTGTTCTGAAGCTATTTTCTTGTGGCATTGTAAATTAATTACTATTTATAACTGGGAATAAGCCACAATTAAAGATAAAAATACGTTTATTGACGTTTCAATATCCAATTCGGAAATCGTTCTCAAAATACAAACAGTAAATTATTCTTCTCATGTTAATATTGTTTGTACAGCTTTTATTATTTAGAAAATACAAGCAATGTTTATTTTGTTTCGTATTCACTCCTATAATTTGATTATGCATGGTTGATATGAAATATACACAATACAATTCATAGTAGAAAGCTATTACAAACGAATCTACTAACCTTTCCATGAGCATTATGAAATATTGTCTACCCAGGATAATAAGTCTGTTAATCCTAATGACATTCGTCACTGTTCTAAGCATGCAAATCTAGGCCACTGGGCGACATAGCTGAAATAGCGTTGGCATTAGAAATAACGGAACAGCGAAACAGCGATCAAAACGACTGCTGTAATTTGACAACAGTAACAACTATGCCTTTATCATGTTAAATAAATACGGAGCTTGCACACTTGTAGATAACTAGACGGCCGTGCAAAGATTCAAAATGATTTTATGTCTATTCAAAACCCCTAACTTTCATTAGTTAGGTCAGCCAAAACTTTTGAGCAGAAATGCGAGAAACAACAGAACGAGCAACAAAAAAAGGCACGAGATCTAAAAAAAGCCAAAGCATAATTCCATTGTTAAAAAAAACTTTTTTAAATAATGGTAATACATACATGCATGGTCAAACACATCAATAACGGGATTTTAAAATTGCGTGGAATGAAAATACTGCATCATGATACTGAAGACACTGTAACCTGGACCCTCCTACAAAGAGACGAAGAGATAAGCTAAGCTCAGATGGGGTGTTTCCATGATGATAAAACAGGCAATTTGCTTGAAATTATAAAGAATTACGAATATGATGCAAACATGTGGTTAGGGAAAATATAAAAAAAAATCTGTACAAATATTGATAAAAAAATTAATAATACAATAACGAAAAGAACAATAATAGCCAACACAGACGATGTTGATAGTTGATTGATAGAAGTATCTTTTGTAATGTTTAGTAATGATGTCTATATACAATGATGTCTCTGATACAATGCAGTAACGGATACAAGAACATACCCAGGCGCAGATGTTCCATCGGATCACAACCTACTAGTGGCTAAATTAAAAATAAAGTTCAAAACGCTAAAAAAGACTGTCAAAAGAAAAACCGACATCAATTTACTTAAATAAGAAAATATACAAAGTATGGTAAAGACTAAACTCAACGAGGAATGTGAAAGACTCCAAAGAGAGTTATCACCAACTACAGAAGGCTTATGGACTGAAGTTAAGAATGCTTTTACTAGCGCCGAGAAATATATAAGACACTAATAACAAAAGAAAATCTAAACCCTGGATGACACAAAAAATTCTGGGAATGATGGATACTCGAAGAGCCTACAAAAATAAAAATAATGAAAAATATAGGGAGATACATCGTCAAATCAAGAAAGAAATAGCTACCGCAAAAGAAAATTGGATGATAGAAAACTACCAAGAGATCGAAGAATTAATAAAGAAACACGACAGTCAAACGCTTCACAAAAAAACAAAAGATCTAGCTGGAATGACAAAACAAAGACTCCCTTGTAGATTAACAAACGACGAGAATGAAACGATATGGGAATTAAGCGATCTAAACAACGTATGGGGACATTACATAGAAGAACTATTCTCGGACACACCACTAAACAACATAATATATAAAAACCATGAAACCAGTCCTCCTATATTAAAACAAGAAGTAGAGAGAGCAATCAAAAACGCAAAAAATGGGAAAGCCCTTGGCCCCGATGACATACATATGGAAGTCATAAAGCTACTGGAAGAGAAACATTTAAATATAATCGTCAAATTATTTAATTAAATATATACAAGCGGTGAAATTCCACAAGACTTGTTAAAATAAGTCTTTATTTCCCTTCCAAAAACTAAGGGAGCAAAGAAGTGTGGTGATTTCAGACTTATTAGTTTAATGTCGCATATGTTAAAGTTATTCTTGAAAGTTATTCACCAACAAGCCTTTTCTTGAAAGGATATCAGTGATGAACAATTTGGCTTCCGAAATGGATTTGGGACACGGGAAGCATTAACCAGTTTTATTATACTGCTGCAAAAATGTCGAGACCAAAAAAAGGATCTCTTTTTATGTTTTATTGACTATCAAAAGGCCTTTGACAAAGTAAAACATGATAAGCTGATGGATTGCCTTCACAAAAAGAGACTAGACGAGAACGATTTTAAAATTATCCAAACGCTGTATTTTAACCAAACTGCAGCAGTTAGAACAGAAGCCGGTGACACAGAAATATTCAATATCAAGCGAGGTGTACGACAGGGGTGTGTATTGTCACCACTACTTTTCAATATATATATTCGGAAGAAATCTTTGCACGAGCACTAGAGGAATCAAGAGAAGGTGTTAAAATTAACGGTAGAGTTCTAAATAATGTACGATACGCAGACGACACGGTCCTAATTGCAGAGAGCGCACAGGATCTCCAGACACTCTTAGATCGCGTCAGATCGATCGGAGAACAATACGGCCTCAGCATTAACGTCAAGAAAACAAAAACAATGATTGTCTCCAAAACTTCCATCCATCCACTCATGGCTTTAAACGTGAATGGTAACATTATCGAACATGTCGAGAAATTTCGATATCTAGGGTGCTGGATAACGAAAGATATAGATCCAGATATAGAAATAAAATCGCGAATTGAACAAGCAACAAATATCTTTTTAAAAATGAAACAAATGTTTACGTCCCAAACACTCAACCTCAAAATCCGATACCGAATGCTGAAATGTTACGTTTACAGCACCTTACTATATGGAATGGAGGCCTGGACCTTCAAAATCAACTCACTCAGGCGTTTGGAAAGTTTTGAAATGTGGTTATTTCGAAGGATGCTGAAAGTCCCCTGGACAGCGCATATGAGCAACGAGCAGGTCCTACACAAGATGGGTACCGACAGAGAACTCTTAAAAATAATGAAAACTCGGAAAACCTCATATTTGGGACATATATACAGAAATGAGAAATACCAGCTACTGCAGCTTCTTATAGAGGGGAAGGTAGAAGGAAAACGTGGTCCTGGTAGACGACAGGCGTCCTGGTTGAAGAACATTCGTGAGTGAACTGGTTTGGATTCTTAATCTTTAATAAGAAAAGCCAGGGACAGAAATGATTTTGCTGAGGTTATCGCCAACCTTCATTGAAGACTGCACCCAAAGAAGATGTCTAGAGGATTACTTAATAGAGGATAAAAAATGGTTTAAACTAATTTAAATAAACCAGCTCAAAGATAAAATAAAATCTGTCATTTCAAATGTCAAAAAATTAGTCTGAAATATACTAGCATCCATATTCGAATATACAGTGAGGTAGTAAGTAACGATAACTATATTTAAAGATTTATTTTGGTATTTCACTAATACCTGGTGGTTGATAAAAATAATTATGTAGAGAAATTGTTGTTTTTCCTACAACTTTTAGGTATAACCTTTTCGTTCTCTATGTTTTTATTTAAAATAAATTTATTTCATTCAAAACACAATATAAATAATTTGGAATTTTATAATTTATTTTTAGCCTTTAATATTCACTACAAAATTTTATCTACGTTTATAAATTTACCTTCCATTTCCTTCCCTAAATAAGGCTGCTATTTCTTCAAATGTTTTGTTTTTCGTCTCTGGAACTTTCTTATACGTAAATATCCAGAAAATTGCTAGGAAGACGCTGAACGGCAGGAAGGTATAGTTATCTAGGGCGTTCTGAAACAAAGTAATATTACATAAGTATGTTTGTTTAACGCAATATATAAGTTAAAAATTAAACACATCATTTCAATATCTCATATGAACTATATATCATTTCAGATGTCCGTGCAGTATAGGAATGTGCAATTTCCGTTTGAAAACCATTATTTAATTGGCTCCATAGTAATAAAGGTTTTAAAAAGTCTCCTAGACAAAAGTTAATGAGCTTATAATGGTTATATTTACAAGTGTAAAACGTACATGGGCGTTCAAATGGGTTTCACAGAATTTGTAAAAGTTACATATGAAGAAGTATTACTTTTCTTTATTTTTAGCAAATTTTATATAATTATGTATATAATTAATTAAAAAATGTAATTTGCTATTTGAGTAATACAAATGTCAAGTTTTTAACATGTTCGCTGCCGACTATTTTTTCTAAATCAATGCCAGAGAACTACGAACACAGAGAAGCGACACCAGCACCGAAATCCGTGTACCGTTTTTGTATACGCATGCCCGAACCTGGTTGCTTTACTGTCAAAAACACGTGCTTATTCTTCAACACTGGTTGTTTTACGATAGTCCTTAGGCGCATGTGGTAAATACTCGACTATACAAGTGCATTTGACCATTTATCTAATTTACTTAGTAGCTAAAAGTTTATAGTTATAGTTAAAATATATAAGTTAAATATATAAGTTTATAGTTATAGTTTATAGTTAAAAGTTTAATTTATAAGTATTTAAAATGTCTTCTGGTTATTGTTGTGCGTTTCGCGGATGTTCATCTGTGACAGGAAAAGGAATAAGTTTATTTAGATTTCCTAAGAATAATAACAGGTAATTACTATTGCTTTGTAATTATTATTAGTTATTACATAATAGTATTAGTTTGACTTTCGAACAGTAAGCCGACGCCGACGTGTCCGTCCGAGCTCTCATTAAGTGGGACAATAAAAAATAAACTTTGGTCTGCCAAGGGATAGTTCAAAATGAAAACATTAAATTTATTATCTCCGAAGGCTCAGGTCAAAAATCAACAGATGTTGGCATGGAAAGCGCTCGAAGACAACAATACGAATATAGTATTTTTAGGAAATAAAAATATATAGAGGGTTTTATACACAAGAATATTTAATTTAAACGAAACAAAGAAATTTCTAAAATGCTCAAACTAAAAATTGTTGGAAACATAATTAGACCGATAATTGGGAAAATGTTCATCAAAAGGATCAAATATATGTATCGGAGTACACACAATATTTAGGCAATAAATATTTAGATAGGAATTACAAATAAAAAATATTAAAACTTTATTTGTTGTATATCTCAATATTTAGTGACAATTTTGTGACTTAATCAGGAGAAAACTAAATTTATTTAGATGAGGTACTAACAAAAGTTAAATACTTCATTACCTACAATATACTTAGAATATACTTATACTCTTATAGTTGTAAGTAACGAAGTATTATTTATAAATACAAAAAAGTTCTTTGTTAAAAATTTGTAGTGCCAAAATGTGGATAGAAGCTTGCATATTTATAGAAATATACTCGTACAATAGTTACTTCTCGTTTTAGTCGAATATCGTTTACTCTGATATTCGATTTTAAAGGAAAAATGTAATTTTAATAGGTTTCCAAGACATTAACAATCGATTTCAACGTAAAGGTTCTTGTTGTCGATCACAAACATTTGTCACCCAAAGAGAATTGGAATTTTTAGAGTTTGTGAAATTTCCGTGGCAGTTACAATGGCTTTATTATTTTTCGCTTATATTACGAAAGATAATTTATTAGGAAATTCCACGATAAACAAATTATATCTTGTATCAACAAAAGCCAAAATGAATCGGTGTATTATTGGTCTATCAATGCCAACATCAAAATAAACAAAAAAGTATTTTCATCTATGGTTCCATCAATACGATTTTCACCATTACTTTGCGTCGTGCGATGTATTTGCAACCTTTTGTAAATCAAAAATAGTTATTTAGGTTAGGCGAAATAGAACCTTTGAAATAAACAAAAATCATTGTTCTTAATTTTATTATTCCTTTGATAACTACTTTTCAAAGCTGTACATTAATATTCAGAGCTTTTACTGACGCTTTTATATTCTCAACCAAATATTCCACATTGAGTTGGATATCTAATTATATAGTTGATAATAACCATGTATTTAACTAGTCTACTATTGGTACCTTATTTTAAATTATACATGATTTCACCATTCAATAACTAACAATTGAAAATTGTTGGGGTACACAGTTATATTACTAATGTGACGAAATGCGCATAAAGATTTTTTACTAAATATATTAAAAGGAAGCGAAAAAAACGAATTTGTGCAACAAACGACGCACGATCTTTGTAGTAATACAAGAAAGCATAAAAATGACTGTGCAATAATGCTCAAACAATAATGTCATTAATATTGTTAATGTTCTGTATTAAATTAATTCTCTGATAGTTTACCGGACACACTAGATAATTGGTTCTCGTAACGTAGTTTGTGTGTCCTGCTATTGTAATTATCGTTTCGAGTTTTTCGATTACGCACGAATTAATACAATGAGATCGTTTGTTAAGCTGAAAGATAACCTTGAAGATGTCTTATATTATATTACTTCATGGTGCGCCGAATTGTGTTTAATTGAGAAAAAAAACACGAAACATCGTAATTTAATTGAAAACTTTTGGTAGTAATGTAAGTGGAGGTAAAGATCCGCAATTTCTACTATTGTGAATGTAGTAAGAAGACGGATAAGTATTTTTATATTTTAGACAAAAAATACCTGTCGATAAATCTTATCCAACATTGTGTCTAAATATATGCCGTATTTGACTATTAAATATCTACAAAATATTTTAAAACATTTATTTAAAAAAGGATTTACGGGGATTTTTCCCATAAAATGGTGCAAGTCCCCATGACGCGGGGCTTCTGCTCTATATGCTGCTAAAAGTTCATAGATGCATAAATAATTTATAGATGCATAAAATATTTCTTTAAAAGTACATCGTACCTATTTTAGTACATAACGAAACTAGTCAGATCCTCTGAGGAAACAATTACAAACGCCTTATGAAATCTTGAAAAATTTGTAGGCTTTGATAATATCATTAATGGCTCTTCATTAGTTTCTGCGACCTGTAAGTATTTATGTTTTAGACGTCTCTTTTGCTCAACTTCACTCTTTACACTTTAACTCTTTAAATTAATCTTCAGCTAATAAATGACCTAGAAGAAGCCATTAAATTTTTTATTAAATTAATATACTACGACATCATTAAAGTAAATGCCTATTATTCAAACCATACTATTATATTAATTCTCCATTTTTTAGTCTTATGTCCTTATTCCTCTGCTTATTATCATTTATATTCTATACCTACCGCAAATTCTACTACAACTATCTCTCCTGAACCATAATATCTCCTTATAAATGAAAATTCCTTTCAATATGTATATGTAGAAAAACCCTGTGCCCGAATCGACAGAAGATATGTTTGCATAAGAAGAAACCATACTAGAAGCAACGAAAAACAAAGATTGTATCAAGCAAATCTTATAGTTAAGTACCAAAGAAGCTTCTTGCCAATACACTCCTGTATAAATTCAAGACATCATCATCCAAAGACTGCCAGAAGACCATTGTATTGCACTATTTCCAAAATCAAACAAAATTACAACTCGATGCTCTACAATAAAAATTTTGAGCCCAAAAGGAACATAACTCATTAATCTTCGGCCAAGATGTGAATTTAAAACTTCAACCCAGAGTTATATAAAGTCAAGAACAACCATTTCAGGGAATCGGAATGTTTCCCAAAATTAGGACCATAGATATTTAAACATCAATAAAGTTCAAACCATTAAGGATAGATCACATTCCCTTAGACAAACTATATAAACTATCCAAGGAAGAAGAACACCTAGAGACAATTAACCCAAAAGTCTCAGTCAACTTTTTGCCGCCACGAAAATTCGTGCAACCAGTAAATTCAAAAAGCTAAATGTTTACATTGAATAAAATTTTTTTAAAGAGTCTTAAGGAGTTACGTGTAAACATTATTACATAGCTACATGCACTGATTACTTGATACTAACTGATCATTGACGTTGCTTACTATATTTTAGGATAAAAGAAAATGTTTTTGTATGATCTGAGGGTTCATACATTCGAAAAACATTTCCCTTTTGATATTTTGACAGGGAAGTTTCGACAAAATCTAATGTTTTAATAACTTGTGTTTCAACTTGTATTAAAATAGTCTTACCAAGGATTTCTCATACCCCCATTAATACAAATGTCAAGTAATGTGTCTTAATTCTGTAATTGTAATAAATAAGATGAAATCCTTAGAATCATTGTTGTATTTGTGCAGTAAATAATTAGGGCACAATTATATCAGATTGTGATAATTATATTACTATTTGCAAATGTCCAAAACTCAACATACACTTTGTTGATATTTATTAAATATTTTATTTATGTAAATATTGATTTTAATTGGTATGCGGTACTGGTCGCTTGTCAATTATTTCAGTTAAACTGGACCAACTACTAGCACATATGGCGGAGAAATCAGATATGTGCATACTTTACTGGTTTAATGGTATAAATGTATTTGTGTTAATAATTTTTATTATTTTGATTATCTAAGGTCCCTTCACAATATTTTAGTATATATTAAAACGATTGACAATTTGTTTTCGTCAGTTGTAGACTCATTTACCAACAGTATAGACATTTGATCAAAATGAATACAGTTATTGTGAGTATATTACAATTTTTGAAACTAATATTAAATTAAAAGATATATTTTTGGGCTATGTAAAATTTGGTCATTAATTAGAGTTTTTATTTTGGGACTTATGTTCTACTATTACTATTATACCACACTCAAATGTTGACTCCTGGTAAAGACCAGCGTCCAAACATACCAAGACTCTTTTTCTAATATATTACCAAACATTTCCTATCTAAATTATTTAGATATTTTTTACCTAATTTATTATTTACGTGCCAAATTTGTTTAGAAGTTTGGCTTTCATTATCTATTAAAATTTTGGATTTCAGCTTCATTAAATAGTTAATGAGACTTGCAGTAAAACCGCTCTTTTAAGCTTCAAAGCCATCATATTTTTCTTTCCGTTTTAATTTTTTATACAACACCTATTTCCCTGGATTTTTTGCTTATTAACCCTGAGGGACTAGTTCTCTGTCTGGTTTTTTCCTTCCACTCAGGTATCTTATCACTTCTTTCTCCATCCTCTTACATTCATCGTTGTCCTGAACACAGTTAAACCATCTGTTCTATGTCTTCATTTCTTCCTTGTCCATTAATTTCCATTGTACCAATTCCTACCTGCTTTTTTGTCCTCTGACCTCTAGACATGTCCCAGACATGCCAACCTCTCAGGTTTAACAAGTCGACTTAATCTATGTTATCATCATATTTTACTGTTCGACTTTTTGACTTTTAATAATAATTGTCTTTCTTTTTTATTGTTTTGTTCGCTTCAAAAGTTTTTCTTTTTTCAATATTTTCAATATCTTTTTATACATCCATGATTTAAATACTTCTGTCAGATTTCAGCAGTATTAATTCACTGTCGAAGTTTCTACAATATACCATACGATAGAATGCCTTTAAAATTTTTCTATCCCTTTTTCCACCCTGCTTTACGTTTTCTCCTTCGTAAGGATGTAGTTACGTCATGTAATTCGTTTGACTATTTTTGTCAAAATATCCATACTGTGCGTGTTGGTTTGCTTCGGAGAATAAGTAATTAGTCATGTCTTATATCTGGTCTGACCATTGTGCTGGAGATATTTCATTATCATCATCATTCTGGCGTTATAAACCTGCGTAGGTCATAGCCTTCTCAAGAATTTCATCCCAGTCGTCGCTATCCATCGCCTTCCTCCACGAAGCAAGTATTCTCATATTTCTCATGTCTTCATCGATCTTATCAAGGAATCTTGTTCTGGGTCTTCCTCTTCTTCTCCGACCAATGGGTCAATCAAGGAGCGTTTTTCTAGCTTGTTCATTTTGTTCCATCCGCGTTACGTGCCCTATCCACCTCAGACGTTGAGACGTCCTATATTAATATGTTTTATTACGATATCTGATTCATGGTATATTCTATAAACTTCAAAGTTGTAACGTCTTCTTTACGCTCCATTGTCATTTACTGCTCCATAAATTCGCCTAAGTATTTTTATTTCGAAACATCCTTACATATTTTCATTACTTTTGCTTAGAGTCCAGGTCTTATGTTACGACTTGGCGTATTATTGCTTTTAAAAGTTTTATTTTTCTATTTCTCGATATCGTTGTGGATTTAAGGAGGAGATTGAGCCCAAAATAGCATCAGCTGGCAAGACATCAGGAGAGAGGGTCTCCTTGGCTTAGCGCGTTATTCATTTTAAAATGTTTAGACAGTTCCCGCCGAATTCGTACTCAACATTCAACTTTTTCAGAGTTAGTTTTGTTAAACTTAACAACTGATTTGGTTGTCATAGCTCTTTCATTGCTTTGAAAATTTCTCTTGTTTTTACAAAATCATATGTTGTTGTGGTTGTTTTGTAGTCTATACAGTTATTAAGTATTTCAATATTCCAATCATTGAAAAAGGATTTCTGTATCCATATTTATTTTATAAGCTGCTGTAATGCCATTATGGTATCGTGACCCTACCTTCTTTATATGGTTTATCTGGGGTTTCTGGCTAGTGGTTCCTTTTCCCTCTAGTCTGTTCCCCTTACTCATCTCTTTCGTCTTTCAGGTTTTTCTTCTTCTTCCTCTATATTTAGTACCTGGTTAAAGTATTCCACCCATCTATTTAATACATCTTTCCTTGTTTTTAATAGGTCGTCATTCTGACTTCTGGATTGTCTCGTGGTTGCCTTATTGGTGGAGATCTTTTTTTTTTATCTGTTGTTGATTGGTTGCCTTCAACTAACATGCTAGCCTTTCATTAACATTATAATTTAAGTCTTGTCTAATAAATATCAGTTTCATGTTCATAAATTAGCTTATTTAATTCTCAATGCTTACTGTAATTTACTTGTAATAATTACTTATAGTTAAATAATACTAATACAAGATTCAATCTTGCCTAACTCCCATTTCACTGCTTAATTGTTGTATTGGTGTTTCGTTTATTTGTATTATTGAGTTTTAACTGTAGTCAATATTAGTAATTATTACTATGTCTTAACAATCTAAATTTTTATCTTACAAGTTGTATAATTTTCTCATGGCTCCCCCCTTTCAAATGATTTGTTACAATAAATAAAACTAACACTTAGCAACCTTGTTGCTATTAACAAGTTCTCATAGACAATTTATCTAAGCGAAAGCAAACCCAATCTTGGAGTCCTACGTTGCTATGAAATAAATTCAGTCTAACACTTAAACATCCTAGAATATTATTAGCAACAATGCAACTTACAACTAATTAAATTTTATTTAAATAGTTTTTACCCAGATATTTAGTGGCTTCAAACATGTAAACATATGGTAATACTTATGTTAGGATAAACACTAATGATGGGATAGTCATTCCGAAAACGCTTTATGATGGAATGTAGACCGAAAGGGTTCGTTAATATTATTATATCTTTTATAAAGGATTTTTTAAATACAATTTTTAATCTTAAGGTATACAGCCACTACAGAAAATTCGTTTGCCTTGTGGATTTTAAATATTTTATTACGTATGTTTGCTTATTTTTTGTTCACCCCGTATATTATTATGAATATTTATTTAAATCAAGATCGTGTATTTCTTGATGTCCTCTAAAAAAATGTGTCTCCTTCATTACTTTTCGAGTTTCATTGATCTAAAAGTCTGGCTAATTTGCATATTTCTGTATACATTTTTAATAGTTCATCTACATTAATTATGAAAGCTTATTTAAGTGACTTTATTATTGTTATTGTTAATCTTTAACAAACATTTTATTGTACTTTATATTAATCACATTTTTTTCAATTTTTCTTTCAATTGACTTATTTTGATTATCCCTAACTAAATTATCCATATTTAAAGTAGGTAACTTGTCATAGTACCCATTATTACCCAGTATCTATAAAAATGAGGTTACTACGATGTTATATCTTTACTATATATTTGCTACTTGCAAGAACATTGAGACGTTTGAAATGTAATTTTATCATCGAAAAGAATAACAACAGCCATAAACGAATACCTCTCTCACATCATGAAGAAGAGCGAAAAATATGTGTTGCTGCAATTAATTCTATAAAAAGAAGTAGAAGGTAAACGCGGACCAGGAAGGCGAAGGATTTCCTAGCTGAAAAATCTACGTACGTGGCTCAATACAACAACCACAAATCTTTTCAGAGCAACAGTTTGCAAAATACAGATTGCCATGATGGTTGCCAACATCTGAAATGGATAGGCACTTGAAGAAGAAGAGCTTTTCTTATTTTATTAACAGAAACTTCTTGTATGCCTTACCTAATATATTTCTTTGTTGCCAGCTTGCTATCGCGCAAATAAATAATGTCTTTTAATAATTTTAAAAATAGTAAGACAAAACAAATAGCGTAATTTCTTTCATTTGCCAAATTGTTTTTTAAACATTTAAATAAAATCAATTTGTTAAAATTTGGTTGACTTGTTGATAGTCTGGGAATCTTCGAATTAATCAAAGTTAACACGATCTAAATTTACTTGCTTAATATTATTTTTATCTGTACTGCTTTGACTGTTATTATTTTACCTGCATACTAATTCATATAAATTATCTACGGTCTATATATAATCCATATATTCGTATACTGCACGTGTTTAGTAAAATTTCATATTTAAAATTAATTCGTGTTTTACTTGTTGTTAAATTATTCTTTTCATTGCATCATATGTGCGTTATTGTAGTATTTGGTCACTTACCTAGATATAGTAAATGGAACTCTAAAGGGAGTGATCGACGTACGAGTCTACACCGGTTTTTACTCGCGGCTCGTTGGAGCTAATAGACTAGCGAGAAACATACTCGTGTTTGAATGAGAATTGAAGTAACATGTCTTGATCGGATTCTAAAGTTGTGTGTTATCTCGCTATAGCACACCGAAAAATAGGAAAAAAGAAGTGAAAACTCTTTAGAGTTTGGCTGAAAAGTTAGATAGAAAGAAAGCAAGAATTGCTTCACACCCACTTAGTTTAAAAATTGTAAGGTGAACCACTTCTTGATTACATGCATTATTGTTGTCTTTATAAAAAACAAAACACTGTGTTGCAAATAGTGAAAAAATTGAAAAATTTTACAAAAATAGCCCACTCGGCTAACCGGCCGTGATCAACACGTGGTTTTATATGACGAGCTAACTAAAAAATATAATAAACATGACAAAATGATAAAACCGGTAGGTTTGGTCCAAATGTTCGAAACATACCTCGGTCCAAGGTGGGCAGAACCACCTTCTAGCCTCGGTTATTAGGATTTCTCCAGCGTGACCACAATGATATACAAGAACACACACGCAGGGGTTATTAGGACACTATCGCCGTTAATACCAAAGACCTACCTGCTATACAACACCCTCCTAAGCGGTGTTCACGCAAAATTCTCACTTATTATAGCACTTTGACACTATGACTAAATTCTTCTTTCTTTGTCCCTCCCTGTTTATGTTCAATCTCGCCTCTTCTCATTTAGCCTTATCTTCTTGCTTGCTCCTGGGCACCCTGTCTCCCTTCGGGTCGCCTTTCCTCTTGCTCCTTTCTCTCCAACTTTCTCCTCAAATATATCTGAACTGCTCTACACCAATCTGACAACCTAAACATCTCCTCCTCTAGTTCCGTGACTGATTGCACTCTACTTCCAAGCTGTTTCTCAAGCAGGCTCCTCTTATCTATCCATCTATCGTATACCAATAGGGTGTAAGAGACAGTGTCTGATATTTCAGACATTTTTCACTTTCTATCTTTCCAAATGTATGCCAAGGTATGCTCTGAGGCAACCATATCGTGTGAGCATCTGCGTCAGGAAGTTATACAAACTTACATCTCGTTTCAATTTTCTTGTCACATTGACACCATTATAGACATCTCCCGTTATTATTTTAAACGTTCTGTAACTATGTCTTTATCTCTTCTCTCGTATATTCTTCCTTTTTTCTTCATTCGCACGTGCATCGGAATACATTCGGTGATAACTCCCAGTGTCTCGACAGAGACTGTTCTGTATGCACATATTACCCTCAAGAGATTCTTGATATCTGCTCGGGCAAACTTTTTTCTGTACGTCTTTGTTCTTAAACTCAACAACTCAACTTCTCTTACTTCTCAAACTAGAGCATTACAATGCTATCAAATGCTATTTACATCTACCTTGTTTGTACAGATCAAAAATGATCACCTTAACTCTAAACTTAGCTGAGACTTTTCTCTTTCTATCGTGTGCAATATGATGGAAATACAACCATTGCATATTATGTGATTATTTCTTCTATCATTCTTAATTCGAATGGTACGATCTACCTATATTGGGAATATTTATTGCATTTTGTAACTTATATTTCTGTTCCAGTTGAAAGCAAGGAAATACAGTGTTTTAAATATTTTCTTTTTATAGTATTTTGCATTTTCCAAAGAGTTTATTATAAAGAACATTATCTTTTTTCTTTCTATCTCTTTTTTAATATTTATTTCTCTATTTAGATCTCCTTTTATCAAACAGTACATGTTACTTGTCGCTTGTCCTCTTTTACTGTTTGATTCTAAATACTCGATATATTCCTATACTATACAATTTCCATTAATTCTACGTTTTATTTTTCAACATGTGATAAGCAGACTAGGTATTATCAAAGTAACTACTTTTTTTATATATAACAATTTTATTTCTTTTATTTTTAAAATTTCAATATTTATCTAGGTACTTTTCTCTTTGGTGGCTATTACTTGCGCGGCCCCTCAATACCTTGATCACTCCTCCGGGGGAGATTTGGGAGGTCATAAAGCTTTAAGTTATCAAATTATTGGTTTAAGCAGAGGAAGTGAGGATCACGAAGAAGAACATGGTAAGACAATAATGTATTCGAAATCTATATATTAGTGATTAATTTATTAGTATATTATATAAAATATATAAATCTATATTTGTGTTTTCTTAGACATATGCAGATGTGGATCTCCTAATTTGGATATTTATCCAATTAGTTGTGTTGACTCACTTTTAATACTTTCCGTTAGCTATTTTATTTTCTTTATATAATATTTTTTACTTTTACGGTTTCTTTTCTCTCTCTCTCTCCCCAGTGGCGCTATAGCCAAATCGGGCCTTGGCCTCCTCCAAACTATGCCTCCAACCTTGTCGGTACCGCGCCGATCTTCTCCAGGTTCTCACGTCTAGCAAATTTTGCGCGTCCGCTGCCACTTCATCCTCCTATCTTTTCCGTTTCCTACCTTTTGGTCTTGCGCCCTGCATTTTACTATCTAGTGCTCTTTTCGGCAGTCTTTCTGCCTCCATTATTACTACATGACCAACCCAGCGAAGTCTCTGAAGTTTAACGAATTCTGAGATCGGTGTTAATAGGTCCAAATATATTTCTTAGGACTTTTCTTTCAAAGACTTCCAGTTTTCTTTTTGTCTCTTCTGTCATCAACCATGTCTCGCATGTATAACATACTATTGGTCTGATAATAGTTTTGTAGACCCTGATTTTTGATCTCCGGTATGTGTTTTTGGAGCGGAACACATGATCAAGTGAAAAATAAGCTTTGTTTCCCTTTACCGTTCTTCTACGGTTTCTTACTTTATGATTTTAGTCAAATGTTCTGTTCTTCGGCATCCTAAGTGCTTATCTTATCACTCTAGACCTTTCGGGAATGACCTACCCTTCGATATTATATAGGTAATTTATCTCGAGCCGTTCTTACCACTGTTCCAACTTTCATTCTATTAATGTGTTCATTCTTACCTTTTTTTTCTTTGTAATACCCAAATAATATTATGTTTTTTTTAAAATGTCTTTCAAGCTGTTTTCTGAACTATGTTTTTTATATTAATTTTAGTAATATTTTGATTTATGATGTTTTTGGTCCAAATTCTGTACTATACGTCATTCCGTTGTGATACTCTTGTCACACTATCTGCAAAATTTAATGTTTCTATACCTAAACACTTACCGATTATATTTTTTACATGATACTAATTCCATTTTCCTTAAGTTTTCTTGAGAAACCTAAATTGATGTGATGTTCTATTTTCATCGAAGCCTTCTATTATACGCCCATGCTACAGCTACTCAGATTATTCCTTAATGAAACCCATTCCAGTATTCTGAAAGCCTTTACCAGCTTGTACAGTTCTAGTTGATGTGTACCATATGTATTTGAAATCACTTGGTAGTCTCTAAGTAGAATATCCGATCCAATGCCTTGCAGTTATGCAAGAACAGGTTGACAGTTTCAGATTATCTGCACATTTTACTAGTCTGCCTCTTAAGTCTTCATATATAAAACAGCCTTATTGTATGCAGGTGTCCCTCGACTAGCGCATGTCCTGTGAGGAAGCCTGCTATAAATCTTAGCTGATAGCAGTTCAGCTCTCTTAGTACATATCTGTCTAATATACATTTTGACCAGGGAACTAGGGAGGCACTTTTTGCGCTTAACATCCTATTACAAAAATGCCGTCACCAAAGAAAATATATATTTGCATGTTTCGTGGACTTCGAAAAGGCATTCGATAAAGTAAAGCATGTACAATTAATGCAAATACTGAAAAATATCGGAACAGATGACAAGGATATTCGTGTCATTAAAAATTTGTACTGGACTGAAACTGCTATCATAAAAATTGGAGATAACTACATCGATGAAATTCCCATACAACGAGGAGTCAGAAAAGGTTGCATTTTGTCGCTAACATTGTTCAATGTTTACTCGGACCAGTTATTTAAGAAGGCACTTGAGAGACAACCATATGGAATAAAAATCAACGGGGAACTACTTAATGTGATTAGATATGCAGACGATACAGTAATTTTATCAGATAATATTCAAGGTCTTCAAATTCTGCTTGATCGTATTTACGAGGTAGGAAAGGAAATGGGCATTAAATTAAACTCAAACAAAACCAAATTTTTAGTGTTTAGTTGTGACTCACATCCCGATGCAAAGCTTCAATTGAACGAAGTCTAAATTGAGAAAGTTTACAAAATGACATATTCGGGAACTGTGATAATGGATGAACTAGATCCAGATATAGAAATAAAACGTAGAATAGCAATGACTAAAACTACTTTTATGAAAATTAAGTCAATAATCTCTGCAATAACCATCTCAGTTTAGAACTGAGGCAAAGAATGACTAAGTGCTATGTTTGGTCTGGACTTTTGTATAGTGCAGACGTGTGGACGCTAAAAGTATTGATCATGAACAAAATTAAATGCTAAAGATACCTTGGACAGCAAGAAAAATAATGAAGAAGTACTAAGGAGCGTCAACAAAGACAGAGAACTGCTAAAGACTGTTAAACATCGAAAACTGTCTTATCTGGGACATATAGTATCGGGAAGTCGATATAAAATTTTACAACTGATCCTTAAAGGCAAAATAGAGGGTCATTAAGGTGTAGGAAGAAAACAAATTTCTTGGTTAAAAAACATTCGTGAATGGACTCAGATACCAAATGCAGGACAATTATTCCATATTGCAGAAGATCGGGAAGCCTTCGCAATGGTGATCGACAACGTTGGACAATTCTGACATAGCACGCGAAAAAGAAGATACATTTTGACGTGAGTGGCCAGATATATTTTCTCAGTGAGTTATGTTGCATTCGGATCCAGTATGCATTCTAACTTACGGCTTATGAGAGAAATATGGCTGGTTATCTGTGCATATATTTATCTGCTCACTGCAAGATTGCAAAAATCTCTACAATCTTGCAGTCTGGGTTAAGTGTTTTATCTGTCTCATCGCTCTCTTGAGCAATATCCTCTTAGAAAGATAGGTATTTTATGTCTATATCTGGGTACTATCTTCAACTTCATTTATGGTTACTATATCCTGATCTAACCAATACGTTGCTTACGTTCTCTCGCAGTCTATAATGTACCATTCTCGTGTACCTACTTATAACAATATATGAAGAAGGAAGCAAGTCTTTACAGTTTGCTAAGATTGAAAATGGCACTTTGTTGCTACACCTTTGTTGCTGCACCTAAAATCTACAAAGAAGTAAGGGCAGTCTATGTCGTACTACGTCGTTTTTTCTAATCTTTTTCTGATGGATAACATGTGATCAATGGTAGATCTATTTTTCGAAAAGTCTTTTTGGTAGGATTTTATTATATTGTAAGTATACTGTGTCAATCGTTCGTTAAGTATCAGTGACAAAATTTTGTACACCTTATTAAGAAGGGACATCCCTCTAAAGTTGGAACAATCAAGCACGTTTTCTTTTTTTGGTATAGGGCACATAGTTACAATATTTTAATCTTCTGGTAAAACGCGTTTTTGCTACATCTGTATTAATAGTTTGTAAAAGAGGCTTACAAATGTTTGACTGCCTTCCTCTTAAAGTGACTTCTCCATTACTGAAGGTTGGCTATAACTACAGCACATTGCTCTCTATCTTGAGCTGTTCTTAGTATCGAATGTGTGTCCATACCTGTCCAGTCTCTTACATTCTTCAACCAGGAGCATTTTCTTCTTCGGACCTCTTCTTCCTTCCACTTTCCCTTCTAAGGGAAAGTCGTAGGATAAGTCGTAGGAAGTTGTATTTTTCTCCTCTGTAAATATGTCCTAGATAACTCGTTTTTCTGTTTTTTACAATATTTAGGAGTTCTCTCTCAGTACCCATTCTTCTTAGCACCTCGTTGTTGGTCACGTGCTCTGTCCAAGAGATCTTCAGCATCCTTCGAAAACCCACATCTCAAAGGCTTCTATACGTTTGACTGCCACATTTAAATATTTCTGCGGGTAGGTTATCTGCTCCGGAGGACTTGTTTTTTGCTAGAGACTGAATTGCTTTATTTTTTTCTTCCAAGGTTGGTAAAGTTAATAGCTTAGTTTCCTCCTTTCTACTTCTAGTTCTACTTTCTCCATTAGGTAGCGCATTAAAGTGTTTCTGCTATCTTTTTAGTACTTCTACTTTGCTCTTTCAAAAGAATTCCATTATGAGCCTTGACTTAGTTTGCTTGTGGCTTAAAAAGTTTTCGTTTTGTGTTAATATGTTTGTAAAATTTTTTATGTTGCAGTTTTCTGCTTAATTTTTCCATTTCTTTGAGCTCTTTATTGACTTATTGCCGCTTTTTCTGTTTGGGCTTTTATTTTTCCTCTCTTTTCTTTACTCGATATTCTTCAACATTGCTCCTCATCCTTCTGTTGATTATTTTTAGATATGCTTTATTCTTCTCTTTGGTTACTCGTTTGCATTCCTCATTATTGTATTCCCCTACTTATTTATTTTAATGCTAAAAATTTTATCTCTTAACTGATTTATAGTTTTAAAACCATTTAACTCGTTATTTATTAGTCAAACCTTTATTTGCAAACGTGTTATTTTTTAGAAGAACGTGGTTATGGTGGACATGGCGGAAACTTGGGAGGTGGACATCAAGTAGTCTTGCTAGGTGGTTATGGCCATGATAATAAACAGGAAGAATATGGTGGAAATAGTTATGGATACGAAATCAAAAGCGGATATGGAAAACATGATGATTCAATCGGTTTTACCGGTTCTGACTTTAAGACCCCAGTAGACGTTCACCACGAAAAAGAAATCCATATTAAGGTAAGTGTAGGTTAATAAGCAAGGCATTCCATACATCTAAAATATTATAAACTAAGGTTTTCATACAGAGATATGTCTTTAAATAATTTAGGGTGTGTATCATATCACTTACTTCAATATGTAGTGATGGAACAAATCTAACAAAAAAGGAATTTTCTAAAAAAAACTATTTAAATTTTATTTCAATATTTCTTGACCTTATTTTATTTGTTGTTTATAATATTTAACTTTATATACCAACATAATGAGTCTCTTACAGCTTAAGCCGTTTTTCTCTCCCTTTGCGCCAGCGATTTCTGTCAGTCTAGTCGTTATAACATTCCATATCCTGGATATAAGGCGGTTCTTATGTCTTCCTTCCAACGGAAGTCTACTGTCATAATCTTTTCGGCCATCTACTCTCTTCAATCTGTGGAGGTGTCCATACTTCATAAGCTGCTTCCTATTAATGGTATCGAGAATGTTGCCTTCTACTTACATTCTCTGTTTAATCTTATCATTACCTAGTCGTGCTTGTAGATCCTTTAACTTGTTCTTCAGTAATCCATCTCCATAGCCTTTAATTTTTTTCTTTGTTTCTTATTTAGTATCTAGTCGTCAAATCCATGCTCTTTTTGTTATTGCCTTGCAAATCAGACGTTAAGTGTCTCTTGTATCCTTACAATTTTTAACCACAAAGTTCTTAATCCTGAGATTTTTTTCAGGATCACCGATCACCATATGCTCTGTTTTCCGTAAATTAATTTTCAAGCCATATTTAGTCAACTGTTATTGTAAATACCGCATCATATAGAATTCGTCGTGCAGATCAGATACTGTGAGATAACCTGGTTATCAGCAAACAAAAGAGTATATAGTATTGTGTCTAATGGTATTTCCATTTCGCCTCATTTTTTACAGTCTTTTAAAGATTTATTCATGTATACTCTATACAAAGTAAGTAAGTCCACTTGACACTGAGAAAGTAGAGTTAATTTTCCACCCATCTTTATACTACTTGTCGCGTCAAGATATATATTTGGCACAGCTTTTATAACAGTCTGCTGAGTTTTTGCAATCCGGTCTGCAGTCTCTAGAGTATCATTATCATAAATATGCCTTCTAGAGGTCTACACGAGTTTGGACAGGTGTGTTCTTTTCAGATTGTTTTTCAATAAGCTATGTTAAAACAACTATGTTATCAATGCAAGAGTGCCCAGCTGTAAAACCAATTCGCTCTTCGCATTTTCTTATATTATCTTTTATTCAAGTTTTAATAATTATTCCATATAGACATCCAATCTAGCACAAAATACCGATACCTCGGTAAGTTCTACATTCCGACCTACTGCTTTGTTTATATATTGATAAAATAAATACTTGCTTTCATTTTTTCTTTGGGTAATTTTCTTTTTTTAGATATTGCGTAAATATAGTTGCCAGTATTTAAAATATTTGTCTTAAAGCTGCTTTCATTAGCTTTATCGGAATATACCATGCGCCCATCATTTGCTGGGTGTGCTTCTGTAGGCGATATATCGCTAATTTCTGTAAAGTCATCGATTAAAATTGGTGGATTGTTGTTTGCCAACAATTGTTCCCTATTCTCTGTCAGCAGAGACTTGTAATATTCTTTCCATTTATCTGCTCAAATTAACGAAATACTTCCATGGCTTGAGCGTGTTCCTTAAATTTATTTATCTTAAAGCATTTTATTTCCCACATATTATTTTTTAATTTATTGGTTGCTTTTTTTTCTTCCTTCTTGCATTAAGGTATTCTTTTCGGTTATCCGCAGCAGTTGTGGTTAGCAATTTTTTTCTCGCACAGTTGTCTATTTTCGTTGACTACAAGTGTTTGGTACTATCACTCCACCACAGGTTTTTCTTCTTGCAATATGGGTTTCGTTCCACCAGTGCTTCGTTATTTACCTTTTATACTTTTGCCAGGAAGTTCTGCAGTTTATAAGTCCTAGCTGGTACATAACTGTAGTGAAATCATTATTTAAAGTATACAAATTGTACATTTATACAACTTAGCAGTACCATTTATTTATGGTGGCTTATTTGGTTTATAATGCTTGATAATTTGTTAAAGACATTACTTTTTGCTTATACCCTTTTAATTTTAATTCCAGTCGGACTATTTGCTCATAGATCTGATTCCAATTAGTGATGAATCTCTGAAGTTATTGTGTTTCTTCAGTTCTTCTACTATTCCGTATATTTACTGGTTAAAATTCTCACACTGTAGGTTTAAAAAACAATAGTACTTTTTCGTTTACAATTTTGATTTCCATTTGATCTGTTAATATGCAACTATAGCAGAGTTAACTAGATAGTAATAGTAGAAGAAGAACTAACCGACCTCATTGAAGCTGATAATGGGATAAGACAGAGAGATTCCCTGAGTCCTCTATTGTTCAACCTTATTTTGGATGAAATAATAAAAAAAGTAAGAACTAAAAAAGAATACCAAATAGGAGAAGAATAACTTAAAATATTCTGCTATGCAGACGACGCAATAGTACTCTCTCAAAGTGAAGAGGATTTCCAACGTATGCTGCACCAATATAAAATAGTTGCCAGAAAATTTAATACGGTAATTTCCCCAAAAAAGACAAAATGCATGGTTACAACAGCAAATTTACTAAGATGTAAATTGGAGCCGGAAGGTCAGATAATAGAACACGTGATGAAGTTTAAATATCTAGGCATCATAGTATCTAGCTATGGAAAGCTCGAAACTGAAGTGGAAGATCAAGTGAATCGAGCAAACAGAGCCACAGGTTGCCTGAATGAAACAATATAAAGAAATAAAATATCAGACAAGAAAAGAAAGTCAGAATTTACAGCAGTCATCAGGACAATAATGACATACGCGGAAAAAACAAGACCTAACACAGGGGGGACAAAAAGGATGTTAGTAACAGCAGAGATGAAAACATTTGATGACAGACAGAAATGACAGATGACAGAAAAATTGATGGTAAGATACTATGGGACAGAGCTAAAAGTACCGACATACGACGTAGATGCAAGGTTGAGAACATCAAGAACTGGGTAAAAAAGAGAAGAGTAAAATGGAACGATCATATAAGCTGAATGACAACAAATATAGTAGTAAAGTCGACAAGAGCCGGTTCACCAATAGGAAGACCACGTAAACGAGGGAACGACAACTTACTGGAGGCACAATGAAAAACAGAGTCATGTGTTTATAAAAAGAAGAAGAAGTAAAAGAATATGCAACTACACATTTCATTAAAAAATAGGTCACAAGGAAATAAGTACCTGCTTACTTGTTTCAGGCCTTCACTTATGGTCAATACCAGAAATAACATAAAAAATATTCAAATCAAAATCATTACCGATGAAAACATACATTCCAATCTAAATTAATTATTTAGCAATTATTACGATTTCACTAGCGACATTTAAATAATTAGCTAACATTAATATTTCCATAATGTGTTGTTTATTTTAAATACACAAAGTACTTTCACTCGCCCGCACTGGTGCGTTACTTTAACAAATATTTAATTATGTCAATTAATAATAAATATTTCTGTCTAGGGTAAACTAGTTGCAACTAGGCGATACATTTTCTTGAAAAATGTAAAGTTAGGAATATACTGTTCGGTAATAATTTGAAACTACTGATAGTTTATGATGTTTTTGTTTGCTCCTATTTTTAATTTTTTCGTCTGGACTAATCCACATCCATTTTTCATTTTATTTCTTCTTAAAAAAGGTGTTCATTGCATATAGGATGTATGACAATAGAATGTTAGTCAGCAGTTTGCCTCTTTTGTTACTTTTTTGAGGTTGCATCTCTCGTTGTTTTTTTTTGTAGTTTTCTGTGAATTAATAGATCTATTCCTCCAGTTGTCAATTCCCTTTATAGTGGAATATGTTACCTAATTCTAGTTTGAAATGATCTTTATCTTTTCCTTTGACTTCGCTAATTTCTAAAATCTCCCATTTGACATATTTGAGTTCTTTCTGAAGTTTCGTCATTATCTCATCTGCCGATGACTGTGGGTCCTTTTTTAAATGTCTGTTCATTCTGAGAGAGTTTTGGTATATATACACGATACTTGTCAGGCGGGTTGGTGGTTGGTTTGGGCAAATGAAAGAATATGGTATGTATTCTGATAATTGAGAAACTTCGCAGCCAAATTAAATCTGCTTTACTAAATGACCTATACTTTTTATCTGAACTTATAAATTTTATACAAACTTTATAAATTTTACTTATTTACAGTTCCGTTTCAAAACTTCTTTTTCTCTAATATTGTTTCAAGAATGACCTGGATCCTCTTGTCGATTTGTTTACTAATCTACTTCCTTGATCTGCTTACAAAACCGAATTTTGATCTCTCGTTCTAACCCAAACTCTTATGTCCTCTGGATTCTAAATTCTTCCGATGCATTGATGAATTTTGTTGTACTTACAAATGCTGTTGCCATCAATTGCTCCACTCCTCTCGATCAGCACACAGGAAAATCGCCACTTCTTTCACTTTCTTTATACACAAACACTTTTGGAAAACAAAGTTACTTTCTTTTTTAACTCCGATTTTCTTTTTCTCTCCGATTTTACATATTTGAGTTCTTTCTAGTTCCGTCATTATCTCATCTGCTGATGACTGTGGGTCCTTTTTTTGAATGTCTGTTTATTCTGAGAGAGTTTTGGCATATAAACACGATACTTGCCAGGCGGGTTGGTGGTTGGTTCAGTTCCAAAAACTTATTTTTCTATAATATTGTTTCAAGAATGACCTGGACTCTTTTGTCGATTCGTTTGCTAATCTCCTTTCTTGAATCTGCTCCCAAAACCGAATATTGATCTCTCGTCCTAACCCAAACCCCTATCCTTTCTAGATTCTAAATTCTCCAGATACATTGATGAATTTTGTTGTACTTACAAATGCTGTTGCCATCAATTGCTTCACTCCTCTCGATCAGCACACAGGGAAATCACCACTTCTTCCATTTGTTTATACACAAATACCTTCGAAAAACAAAATTACTTCCTTTTTGAATACAACTTAATCTTTTTCGCAGTTGAAAGAACTTTCTTCTCTTCTTCTTCTTCCTCTTTATATGCATTTCTGCTTGTTCTTTGGCTGATTAATGCCTCTATGGAAGGTTGTCACTTCATCTTTTGCGCGGTCATCTGATACTTCTTCTGCCGATTGCTAACTTATCTCCTGCTATTTTGACGACACGGGTCTCCTCAATTCTGCTTATATGGTCATTTAATTCTTTTTCTATTTTGTGCCCATTCATTTATACACTGTAAGTTACATTTTCTTCTAATGTCTTCTCTTTTCTTTTGATCTCTCAGCGTATTTCCTATAATTCTTGTCAGTTCTCTCATCTCTGCCGTTTCCAGTAGCTTTTGCGTTGTGGCTGTGTCGGATCTTATTTCTGAGGCATATGCCATTATTGGTCTTACACTGGCTTTGATAAATTCTTGATTTCATCACAGTGTTATGTGTCTGTTTCGTCATATAGTATTATTAAGGCATCCTGCCAGTCTATTTACTTTTTGTACTTCATCTATTTCTTCTTTGTTCAGGTCTTCATAGCTAGACAGTGTAATTCCCAGGTAAAAAAACCTTTGGCATGCAAAACTTTTTCTATTTTCGATGTTAATCTTCCGACGCCAGGAACAGATATCTCTCCACTCGACTTTCAAATACGCACCAAACACAGCACTTCCCTTTTTACTATTATTTTCTAAACCAATCATATGTTAGCATTTTCAAACACACAAATCAATTTTTCAATTTCTATTAAATGCATCACGTTTATACTTCCTGGCTTTTCCGACAATACGCAAACATAACTTTACATAAATTAATTTCCTCTGTCCACTGGCTTCACAATTCATAACCATAAGTCGTTAGTCGGCTTGGAATTTATCAAACATTTGTAAAAACCCTAATCGTTTTCTTTGAATCTTTGAAATGAAACCATATTCTATTCATACAGAATTTCTACCTTCTATCTTAAATGTAATAATATTACAATCTAAATTTTGTTCACTGAATTTGTTTAAACACAAATTTTCACCCTAAAGTCCCTTTTAATATTCACTGACATCACATGCTTATAAGACATCAGTCTTTGTCAATTTTCCTGACCCAATTATGATTTACGGTCCTTAATCGAAATAAAATTAAGCTAAGGTGTTAAACAAAACTTAATTAACAAAAAATTATAGTTAATTAAACAAAAATTATGTTTAAATAACTATAAGGCGAAGTTGGATTGTCCATAGGCGGTTCACTAGAATTTCCATCTTCTCTACTCGCTTCTGTTCATGTTGTTTTTACCAGTTCTTTTGAGTCTCTAGTTCTTGGTAAATTTTTCCTGGAAAGGATAAGTGGTTTTGCCAGTGTTTTTTTCCAATTGCTCAAGAAAAATTCGCCGTTTTGTAAGTTTGTTGGTATTCCACTGGGGATTTATTGATGTCCATAAAACAAACGCGTTGTAAGCAGAAATGCCCAGCATATTACAAAAAACAATCATAGGTCAGCGCTTTGTCTTCCTCTTACATGTATATGTACTGATCTAGAGAAGATCTGACAAAACAAGCTGGTCTAGAGTATCCACTGCTCCCTTACTGGAGTTTTTAAGTCCCGTGGTGAATCAACTAAAAGTTTGTGGAATGAAGAAATTAGTCGTACTCTATTTCGAGCAACAATATCCCTGGAAGTATTTATAAAAATTTCGCAGGTAATAAGTTTTGATAACAAGACTACTCCACAGGATAGCCTTTAGGGACCCGTGTCCCTTCAAACAGTACATTCCAAGCAAACCAGCGAAATATGGCATAGAAATTTGAGCTTTATGTGACATGCTTCATGTTACTGGAATTGTAATCCAAAACAATTTGGGGTATTTTGTCATTTCTGTCACTAATAGCCTTATCATGATGGAAATCATTAATTAGGATAACATTTCTATCCTTTTTAGGAATATAGTTAACAACAGTGGTATCTTGCGTGAAATAAAAATGACGAAATATGAACTTCTTTATTCGCAACTTGTATGGAAGCTCGGGCTTATTTTTTCTTATAGTCCCCAGCATTGTATTTTTTATATTAGAAGAAGTAATTCCAAATTGTATGATGTAAAAAGTTATCACAAGTAATATTATGGCCTTTGAAATGACTACACTGATTCCATTCCGGCGCGGCATCTCCTTGTTTTTCTGTAAAGATCTGCAATTTTAGAGCACACAAACTTTTACTGTCACATAAAGCTCAAATTTATATGCCATATTTCGCTGGTTTGCTTGGAATGTACTGTTTGAAGGGACACGGGCCCCTAAAGGCTATCCTGTGTAGTAGTCTTGTTATCAAAACTTATTACTTGCGAAATTTTTATAAATACTTCCAGGGACATTGTTGCTCGAAATAGAGTACGACTCATTTCTTCATTCCACAAAATTTTAGTTGATTCACCACGGGAGTTAAAAACTCCAGCTAACAATAAAAGAGAAATGTATGCTTTAAAACCAATTTTATTCAAGTCTCTCCAGTTGATTCCAAAAACCTTCCGTGTTGGTCATATTTATAATTTGGTTTGAAACTATGTTAGAAAAGAGTGCATCAAATGAATTTTGGTATCGAAAATTCGTGCACATGCGTACCTTGTAACTCCTGGAGCATTATTTATCCGTAGAAAAACGACTGCGTTGATAAGGAGGATCGAGAGACCACTGGATATTACTGTCTTTTAAAAGAACTGTTACAGAAGGCTCTACAGGATGTTGTACGTGAAATAGTACAGCAAAATCATCACAACTTTCTTCTTCACTCTCACTACTTGTATTATTTTCTGTTTCTGATAAGTACTCATCACTCCTGACACGTTCGCGAGCTCGTGAAGCTCATCTTCGGTTAGCGTTTTTGTTAATGTAAATGAATGCGCATGGCATATCAGTGTCCTACCACTACCAGCCTACCACTTGTCTATCACCCCCACTTTCTTCTAAGTGACATGCCCTTCTAAATGACATCGTTCAGCTGCACTACACATTTTTTACAAGTTCGAGCTTGCAGAAACTTGTTTCTATTTATAGACGTACCAGACTGACAAACTGTTAGAAAATATATAAAATACTGCCAACTAAACATATGCACAGAGGTAATTTTTACCGGATAATAATTGCGTAATAATTTGAAAAATAAGAAATAATTTTTTTTGGGTCAAATAGACCTGAACAGGAAAGCAAGGTTAAAACTCCGTGTATATTTCCGAATCATAACAACATCTTACTCGGATTAGCATTTTTGATGTGCCTTCTTAGAAGGATTTTACTTGAAAATAGTTCATAGTTAACTCAAGTACTTTCCTATACATTTCATCATATTTAAATCAGTGGAAATCTCTTTAGAAAAACAGTAGTTTCAAGTCATCCTTGACTCCTATACAGTTCATACAGCAAATTGGAAAAATATAAGATTTTGTGACTGGTATCGACAATCAATAGTCGCTCTTTTATTACTTAGAAGAGTTATCTGGCATTTTATATTCGCGCTAGTATTTCAACCTTATGGTCAAGGTCGAATATTATGCAGTGGCCAAATTACTGTAAGTTGGTTACGAGTTCTTGTATATACCTACATATTATGCTCTTCTGGTTATTAATATTGCATGTTCCGACATCGTTTACATAAATTCCATGAATTTGAAATCCCTTTTTCTATTTTTAAAAAGGATTTTTCAGAAAATTGTTATGAATACAAATTGAACACACGGGGTGCCTCCTAATATATATTAACTCATATTAACAGATAATAAATCAGATAGCAGTTCACGGTATAATAATAAGGTTCAATATTTTAAAGTCGATGTCACAGCTCATCAGTTTTTATGACAGATCTTTGTGTTTGACTCGGTCAAATGACTTTTCTCGCAATTGTTAAAGCGATTATCGATGCTATTTTAAATATATCTATTAAGCAAACATTGGAAATATACTGTACTATAGATTTAAATTTACAATACATATTGAACATAATATTTTAATTTGATTTAACGTTCTAGGCTAACCCAGAATACCACTATGACTTCCACGTAGCTGACCATAAGAACAAAGACTACAAGAGCAAAACAGAATCTCGCGAGGGAGACAAAGTTAAGGGTAGTTACAGCTTATTGGAACCAGATCACAAAACCGTCAGGGTTGTCGACTACGTCTCCGACAAGAAACTTGGATTCATCGCCAAAGTGTCTTATAGGAAACAACATGGCTATTAGTCGATACGTGTACCACTTGTTACATATTGGTTGTTGTTATACTATTTAAGTAACTGTTATTACCATATTAAGTTAATTTGTTTTAGTTGAGTTGACTATTTTTATTGCGAAAATAAATTATTTTACCCATAAGAGAAATCTCGTATTATTGAATGTTACCTAATTCATTAGAAAATGATTAAACTATAAATTTAGTTTAAACGAAGCAAAAAATTGGAGCTGTAATAAAAGAAAACATTAAATAAATTATTACTTAACCTCATTTGTCAAACAAATAAAAAAATATGAACTTGAGCTTAAAAACAGTAGTACTATATTATTAACTAAAATATAACACGTTTAAAAAGCTTCTACCAAAAAGATTTTATACCTGAAAGTACGCTTAGAATACAATACAGAGGATAAAATCGTAAGAAGCCAGATAGACTTTATTATGATAGGAAGAAGACACAAAAATTCAATTAAATTCGCAAAGATGTATCCAGTGATGATGTTGCTTCTATGACAATGTAAATAAATAATGAAGTATCTTTCTAATATGGTTTGTGAGGTAATAACATTGTCATCGTCAACTTTATAACAGGTGATAAAATCATAAAGCTCCAACCCTTTGAGGATCTTGTTCTTCTTAACAACGTTCTTCCATTTTCCTTCATCAAATACTTTTATTCGTCACTGTCTGATGTTCAACAATACTCTCTATTCTTTTTCCTCTTCATTAGCAGCTGTATAGTTCTTTCATTCTAACAAACATAACCTCACTTTTCAGTGTTTGACTCATACGCTTTTAAGTATGGCTAGTCACGGTTGTACAAACTGTCCCAATACATTTTGTTACATGTGGTGATTTTGTTGTTAAAAAACAATATCATCATATCAGAGAAACATTAACATCGGAGAAACATTACTGATTCGGCGAAAAGTGTGTTTTGCATATTTTGGTGTGAAAATTAGTGACCAAGACCAAGCTTGAGCTCCTCACAATGTATGCTATGTTTGTGTTGAGTATTTAAGGGAGTGGTCGAAGAAAGAAAGAAAAGCTTTTAGATTTGCAGTGCCTATGGTACGGAGACAGCAAAAAAATATTCAAATGTTTGTTACTTTTGTACTGTCAATGTTTCTGGATATAACTCCACAAATGAATCAGTGGGAAGAGAAAACCATCCAGTATTTAACACAATTTTAATTTCAACTGTATAGAGCAAACTATCACTGATAAAAAACATTGATATAAAATTTAATGCAGGTAACTACCAGAGGACAGAAAATAAATATTTATTTATTGGACATATCCGGTTTTTGATATGAAAGATCAATGAATGAATGAAAGAAAATCATTCAAAACAAAAAATCCAATTAAATATAATGAAACTGATCAATTAATAGAAAAGAGAATAAAAGAAGCTAAGGAGAGAATGTTACATGAGCAGTGCCAAGAACTAGAAGAAATTGAGAAAAAATATGACTTTTTTAACATGCATAAAAGAATTAGAGAATTAACAGGAATGAGAAAAACACTTCAAACTAGGCAACTAAGAGATGAAAGGGGTGCACTTATAACAGATATAAACCAAAAAATGCAGAGATGGACACAATATATAGCACAACTATTTGAAGACAAAGAAAGAACAGAAGCACCAAAAGAATTTAAGGATGATACTGGGCCTGACATTATACGAGAAGAAATTGAATATGCAATGAAACAAGCTAAAGATGGTAAATCTCCCGGGCCTGATGAAGTTTCTATCGAATTACTTAAAATTGTAAATACTGAATCTATTGATCTTCTTTTGGATCTATTCAATACCATATATAGAACAGGTATAATACCTAAAGAATGGCTCCAATCAACATTCATACTGCTTCCCAAAAAAGCCAATGCAAAGGAGTGCAATGAACATCGCACCATAGCCTTAATGAGTTATGTCTTGAAATTGTTTTTAAAAGTAATTCACAATAGAATACATAAGAAATTAGATGAAGGCATAAGTAATACACAAATGGGATTTAGGAAAGGTCTGGGAACACGAGATGCACTGTTTGCAGTAAGTGTTCTTTCGCAGAGATGCTTAGATATTAATCAGGAAGTATATGCCTGTTTCATTGATTTTGAGAAGGCATTTGACAGAGTGCAGCATAATCGACTTTTTTAAGAAATAAAGAAATTTTATTAAATAAAAACATAGACAGTAGAGACATTAGAATCATCTGTAACCTCTATTGGAATCAAACAGCAAAAGTGAAAGTTGAAAACGAACTGACCAAGGATAACCAGATTCGCCGTGGGGTCCGCCAAGGGTGTATTTTATCACCCTTGTTATTCAATTTATACAGTGAAGCCATCTCAGAATTAGCGCTTGCCGAGATCAGTGAGGGCCTTATAATAAACGGTGAGCCACTTAATAACATAAGATATGCTGACGACACCGTCCTTTTGGCAGGAACACTAGAAGAACTGCAACACCTTGCTGAACAACTAAATATATATTGCAACGATTATGGACTAAAAATCAATTTGAAGAAAACCAAGTTCATGGTATTTACAAAAGCACAAAACATCAAAGTTAAGCTAGTACTAGATAATACAGAAATTGAACAAATATCTTCGTACAAATACCTTGAAGCATGGATCACAGAAGATACTGATCAGACAAAAGAAATAAGATGCCGCATTGAAATTGCGCGGTCAACTTTTAATAGAATGAGAAAACTTTTTTGTAATCGCGATATCAATATATCGCTCCGGATAAGAATGCTTCGATGTTATATTTTCTCTACCCTTTTGTATGGAGTTGAAGCTTGGACACTTAAAAAATCCAACATTAAAAACCTAGAAGCATTCGAAATGTGGTGTTACCGACGCATTTTGAAAATATCATGGATGGATCTCAAAACAAACGAACAAGTTCTCGAACAACTAGGAAAACAATGCGAAGTTTTAAATTCCATAAAGATCAGGAAATTGGAATACTGGGGCACATCATGAGAGGTGAAAAGTACGAACTACTAAGGAATATAATGCAGGGTAAAATCAAAGGTAGAAGAAGCGTAGGAAGACGTAAAATCTCGTGGCTACGCAATCTCCGTGAGTGGTTTGGATGCAGTTCAATTGAACTATTCAGGCGAGTAACCAATAAAATTATAATTGCAAGAATGATTTCCAATCTCCGATAGGAGTGGAACTTGAAGAAGAAGAAGAATCCGGTTTTTAGACAACATTATTATTTTAGGATTATTTATTACGATTTAACCAACATGACACAAAATAACAAATTAAAAAGGAGTCAATCCAAGTTCTTCGGATTCATCTTCAGCTTCTGCAGTTGGCCATGTAAATAAGGAATCATAAAATATCTTCCATCCAGAAATGTTCTCATCCAAGTGGGGTTCAAATTTCAATAGATATTCTTATTTCTTTTTCTTAATCGGAACTCTGACTTGAGGATAGGCCAAGTTAACAGGTAGTGACTCTACTTTGGTGCGTGTAGAAACATCAAATGTGTGGTGAACAATTCCATAAATAAATTCATAAGCAACAGTTTGTCCTTGAGAAAAGAAAAGTGCACGAACTTACTGATAGAAAAAATTTTTTTGTTCTTTGGGAATATACCTATCTAGTGATCCGTGTGATAAAGCACTTCTTTTATAATATCTAGTCTACTAGGAGTTATAATCTTTGATAATACTATTATCATTCTCGATCAGATGAACTTTTTTTAATACTAGCAGTTATCATAAGTTCTACATAGTCTTCCAATGTGTAAATACTACCGCTTTTTTATTATTCTCCTTGCTACAGCAAAGTTACGGTCACAAGGCATGAACGACTGACCACGAATAGGGTAGTACTGGTTCACCGTTTCAAATCTTCTGAGGTCTATTAAGGCTCTGACGAACCTTAAAACTGTGTGATTTTGGTTTTAACCTCCAGCTAAATCAGGGAAAATGTAAAAGTATTTCGCTGTCTTAGATACATATGTCTTAATATAATCCATTATAAAGGAGCACACCTCGTTAGGGCCATTTTTGCCTAATCCTTCGTAATATACGTAGAAGTAGCTTTTACCGATTTTAAGATCGTGTATGTTAAACACACTTTTAGCGTAACTAATAGAAGTCGGTGAAGACACAGCTCTATAAAATCCACATTTAACTGGGACATCTGGAAATTTTTTCGAAAATAACAAATGCATTATTTTTATATTTAGTTTTTCGTTCTAATATTTCATTTCCCATCCAGTGTAATATGCTAGTTTGACAGGAAATGACTCAATACGGGCTTTTATACTATTGACTGTTTCTTTAGGTTTGGCATTAGTTGCTAGCTCACATGTCAACAGGTACTTGTCCTTTTTCTAAAACCTTTATCAATCGACCTTCTATCTGTTTCTTTATAGAATGCAGACTTAAAAATGCAGATGTACAAACGGAATAAACGTCTGTACTTGTCACTCTGTACGAAATGAGTTTTTTTGTGGTTTTTTCCTGTTTTTTTTTTCAGTGTGTTGTCTAGGACGCGGTCGGGCAAATGTCAATATTTCAACAAGGAACTGAAGATAAGCGTCATAGAAATTTTGTTTTCTAGGAAGGAATCGCAAGAAAGCATTTCTTTTTACATCTTGTACACCGTCCATAGTGATGAATGACAAATGTATATTGGGACGAGTAGACATGAGTTGTAGCTTTTGTAGAAAAAGTGGACATGTCTAGGACTTATCCGGTTTTACCTCAATTCCATAATTTCTAATACCTTAAAGTTTTATTAGTACGAGGATAAGTCCGGTTTCTACACAAAACGGCGCGTCTTATACTTATAATGGATTTCTACCAAAATGGTAAAAATGCCTATTTATGGACATATCCGCTTTCTCTTTTCACCGATTCAAATAAGAAAGTCAATGTTTATCTTATTCTCTCGTCTGCTATCTGTCCGGTAGAGCATGGACCTGAACTGCCAGTCCCTGTGCCTCCTCTACGTAATAATGACATTTTAAATACTA